TTTACGTACTAGTACGTTGTTTAGTAAGTAGGTTAGGGTGGACGTATTACTAACTTAACTAACTAACCTAACTAGTCATATAAGTAATATACTATATATATATATATATATATATATATATACTCCTGCTAGATCACATAAGTCTTTCTTTCACACCCTTCCACTAACTACATTATGCAAGATACACTACTTCTAGTACTTTCAAAAAAATTTCAATCCATATACATGGAGGAGTTAAGATAATGATTTTCTAGTATGAAAACAATCTTCTCGACTGAAATATTTGATGAAACTTTTCCTTATAAATGGACTTGTAGGCCACAATTTTTTTTTATTGGGTAATTCAGTAGGGATGACGAGCCCTTATCTATATTTGAAATTATTAGAAATTTTTTAATGCGTTGGGTAAAATAGAAATCTAGACTTTTAACTGAGTCACAAATGGTGCTACCACCGGGACCCAACCCCAATTTTAAAGCATTTTTTAAATCACACTCAGCTCACTCATGCATACCCCGCATTGATCACACACGGGTTTGGCTCATATAGAGGTCGCAATCTTTTTTTTAAAAAAAAAAATTGAAACAATATTAAAATTAATTATGGATCATGATAAATTTTAAATATCACATTATAAAATACAAATTTATTAAAAAAAATTAAAAAGATACAAAGTTGAATTTCTACTTTGTTATAAAGACCAAACATACATTCTAAAATTTATAATAATAATAAAAATTGGTTATGAGTAATTATTTATGCATAATAATTCAGAAAATTATATTTAAAATTTTGAAAGAATGATATACAAATTTTTTAAATTTTAAAATTTCAAAATATTTTTCATCAAAATTTATTATTTTTAAAAGTAAAAATTTAATATACAATTTTAAGATGCATCAAAACACCCAAACACAATTTTGGATTACATTTGTTGAAAGTAAGAATGACATATGAAAATACATAAAACACTTCACTTCATAATATAAACGATAATATTATTTTGCTGGACAACATAAAGCATCCACATGCACCCTTCAGTTTATAGTGAAAACCTAGACTCATGCAACAGTCGTTTTTTTATTATTTAAAAATTATCTTTATCTGAAATTTGACGTATAGATGTATTTTTATGTAATATTTCAAAAATTATTTGACTAGAAGTACCTTAAAATTTAGGTTGCATATTTATTTTATTTAGTATGCAATATTAAAATAAATATGCGACCTAAATTTTAGATTAAGACGATTTTTAATCAAAATAAAAATAGTTATGTTGTGGCAGTTGGATATTGCCTTGTACAAACTAAGCCATCGGCCACTGGCCACGTCATATGGACAGGATACCTTCCATTTTGTCTTGAGGGGTTTCTTTGCATGTCGTAGTCCTTTCGTCCACTTTTGGCACTCCCATGCAGGAATCGTTTAACCAAAATTTTGAAATTTCAGCAATAGCAGGAATTGTTGAACGAACAATGCAAAAAAGGAACCAGGGCGATGACACAATATTTACTCTTCCATGAAAAATACCTATTTGGGAGGGATTTCTCATTTGAAAGGACAATTAAAGCGCAGAGATGGGGGAATATGGATGAACATAAGTCTCAACCACGTTTCCTTCTAATCTGATTTAACTCTTTTTTGCAACACTGGTCGTAGTCTCGAGCACCAATTCAAAAAGCGAATCCGCCTAGGGCCTAGAAAGCCACCTTGGTGATATGGGTCAACATGACATCCAAAACGCCAATACTACTGCTTCCCATAAGCTTTAAATGGGGAAACAAAGTCCAATGAAAGTTAATTTCTAGAAGGATGTGGTTTTTATAAGGTTGCAACCATAAACAATTCAATTAAGGTGTACCTCCAAATTTTATTATAATATGTGATTTTAGTATTAAAACAATCTTACGATTAATTAAAAATCTATTTTCATATTTAATTATAAAAATAAAAAATCCAAAAATGGTTAAAATCAGGTAGATCTATAAACTGAAAATGGATGAATTATTTCTGGGACTCCGAAAGTTTTGTTTTGCTTTTTCTTTTTTTTCTTCAATTTCAAACATCTCGATGTCGAGATGATCAATTAAAGGGTTTTTCAACATTGAAACAACAATCTTTGATGGATTTTTTAGGTGCATCTGTAATTCTACATTTTAAGGTTCTAACCTCATATAAACTTTTCCTTTCTAGAATTGGGAGTGGGAATATACACTCACAATATACTTAAGAACTTGTGTGATTTTTTGTAAGAAATTGGATTGGGGTGTACCATTTTGAACTCAGATTATAAGCATTATTTTTTAAAAAAATACAGGAGTTTGTTTGTAGCTTTTGGTAGAATTTAGCTCCCACCCATTTTCTCTCTATCCATTCTCTCTTTGTGGTTGTTTTCTCTCACTAAGTATTGTACCTCCAGTATCTTAGTCGCATCATTTGGTACCAGAGCCTAAGTTCAGGGATGGGCAGGGTGTTATATCGATTAGCACATCCTTTTCGATGGTGGTATGAAGGGGGTGAGGCGGTCGTGGATACTACAGAATGAACAATGCAAGAGATTGAGAATTAGAGGCACTTCGTAGGCAAGTGGAGTAGTAAACGCTCAATGGCCCAGATGAATCAGGGCAGATCTAATGGTTACGATTGTATTTCGTAGTTGAATTTTAAACTTTTTTCAACAAACCCAAATCACTTAAAATTTGGAGTGTCTAGTATAAAGAAATAGGCGAATCTAATAAAACTATCAAATAATAATAATTTTGACAAATCAAATGGACTAAAATACCCCTAAATTTTTTTGAGGTATTTTGGTTAATTTACATGTTTAAATATTTTTAAATATTTTAATTAGATGCACCTTTTAGGAATTGCAGTATTTGTTATTTAACGTTGTGTTGTGTAATATGTGATTTAATTTCATTAAGTTTTTTATTTAC